GCGAGTCACCCGATCCTGACAGCGACAGCTACGATATTCTCGATGAGGTTCTCGCTCTCTTCCGCGCCAACACATTCTTCCGCAACTTTGAGATCCAAGGCCCTGCCGACCGTCTGCTTGTGTATGGAATCTGGTTTGTCAGTGATTGTCTGACCAAGATCCGCCCTGGAGCTTCCCTGCGTGATGCTCAAAAGGATGTGAACAACCTGGCACTTGACCTTAACTTTGCTATTCCTGGCGACCCAGGATGGCCTCTTAACCAGGTGCGTAAGCGCCGAATTGGCAAACAAAAGCAGCAAACAGTAGTGGCCGAATTGCTAACCTTTGACACAGATGTACGAGCCCCCCAGGGACAGGCAAGAGGCAGAGCAGCTCAAGCAATACATGTCGCAGGTTCGACAAGAACTTGCTTCCCGACTACTCGCTAGGGTCTACGACGAGGATGAGACTAAGCCCAGCAAGTGGTGGTTGAGCTTCACCAAGAGAAAGTTCATGGGCAAGTCACTATAAAGTGTTGACGACAAGCGTTGAGGGACGTCTATTTTAGAAGATCATTAAGATAAAGGAGTCGAAAGCTGGCGCCATACAAAACATATTTTTCGTACCTACTCGAGGCACTCCATTCTTTGCTACGTCCATTCAGCAGTACCATTTCCTGGTGGCTGGGTTCTAGAAGTATGCTGGCCTTTGAGCGAAGACGACTTGGTCCTGCGCAACGTGATAACTTTATACTCAGACATGCTATTTGCCTCAAGTTCCACTGAGGCACTTTATATATTACCTGCTATGGAAACGGGATGCACTCAACTGGCGACAAACATATCTTTACGCGGAACAAAGTAGGGAGTCGACAGATAACTTATGTCATTGTTCAAGCAGTCCTTATTACACGATAGCCTCAGGTTTGTACTCACACTTCCTACGCATACAATACTACAGAAAGCCTTGGGCCCTGATACGTGAATGTTGAGTGAATTGTGTCAACAATCCGCATATTCCGATCAAGTTCGGACTACTTTTACCTTGTCGACTTCAAGTCGTGTAGACTATGTGGAGTTCTCTTGACGTTGGTCTCACAAGTCCACATCGTTTGAACCTCTTCCCAATAGTGGTATCGTGTAGTATTGAGGCAAATCCATTGGAAAGGAAACTCTGGATATATGATTTCAAATAGTTGATCTAATTGTACCGCTGGGACTGTTTATAAGAGTCTAATATACAACGCTGTTTGGTTCTTTCCATATCGACAAGCAAGAAGCCCCGAGGCTTGATGGACCTCATCGCATTAATCAACATATGATATTGGCCCAGTTTATCAGAAGAAAACCATCAGAACACCTCCATAGATGCCATCGATCCTCTGCCTCTGATCTGCCAGGATGACCTGTCACTCTTCATTGTCATCATGAAGCCAATTTCGAGTAAAGAAGGCCTCAGCCCACCAGATGTGACATGAGACGCTGAATCATCTGCAAAAGTAGAGGGAGATGATTTCCTACACTCCAATGCTCCCCGAAGAAGCGGAGGTATTCAACAATGTCTTCCAATCCATCAAACTGAGATGCCCCTTTCATCTGCAGTTCGATGATCCACTCTGCGACCAAATACATGTTTGACCGAACGAGTAACGCTGCAACTTTCGGGTCCATGACGAATGGCAGGGGCTCTCTCAGATTTGCATGATTCCCGAATGGCAATGCATTAGCTTGAGCGATCTCGATGCTGTTGACCAAGGCAGAAACTCTGTATTGAAGGGTTCCGATCCAGGGGTTGTCGTGGCGCTTGGATGATTGATTATTGAGAAGACGGAACGAAGTTGAGTTTGCAGGCCTTTCTGGAGGTTGCGGCGACTGAGGTTCATCATTGGCATCTCCGGACAGTGATGCAGTCTTTGGTGACTGGGGTTCGTTGTCGATATCTCCAGCCAGTGACTCAGCTTTTGGTGATTGAGGTCCTTTCAAGACATTGGCGTATGACACAGTTCTTGATGATGGGTGGTCTTCATTGATGTTTGCAGTCAACGCTTCAGATTTTGGTTTTTGAGGTTTGCAGTCTAAATACGAATCTGTAGACATCGAGGAAGCTCTTGATGGTCGAGTCTTGGCGATAAGCCGTCGCCTGCCTGTAGACATGATGAAAATGTAAGCTTTTGTGAAGAATGATAGAATAGAGATGGATAGACATTGAGAAGAGAAGAACAATGCCTTGTTGGATCTTTTTGACCATTCCTTGAAATGACCCAAGGAAGGGGAACTCTGACAGCGACTTCTCATAAGATCGAGGCATGTATATCTTCGGGAAGGCATCATCTTCACTCCTCCTAGACTTATAGCATAGGCAGTGAGTAAGTAAAGCCTCAGGATCGTTGTTTCTCCAAGGTATGGTTGTCGTCATGTTATTACCGTCCTAAAACACATCGAAGAAGTGACCGTAGGATAAAGTTGGATGGCAAGGCGTGATGCACTTACTGATTCAAACTACACAAACTAAAACTTCAAACCTGTCTGCATAAATAGTCTCTGCTTTGAGCATCTTCAGGTCGATTGCTGGCGGTTGTCATGGTTATCGCGAGTCAAACAACCAGGGCGCATTGCCTCATGAAGGGTCTGGTCTGATATCCTGGGTAGTAATCTTCCGAAGAAAACGCCAAAGACGACTCAATCTACCCATTGATAAGACAGTAAGATTCCTAACATACTGGAATAGCTTTGCTGGAATCTGGGATTCTGACCGTCTAACACAGTAGGCGTACAAAAGTTGTAGTAAATTTTTATAGGTCTTAAGAGTCTTGTGAAGACTATAGAATTATCTATTAGACTTAGCTAGATTGTGATAAATTTTGCATCAGGTCCATAGCTTTAGAAGAATTTAGTATATTCCGGTCATCGAAACCTTTACAGAACCACACCAAACCACAGTTAAGCAGCACGATGCAAGAGTGCATTGCAGTACAAGTATATAAAGCTTTCACTCAGGTCTTTTGCTACCATGATTGTATTCAGTTTGACTCATTACAACATGATGCTAGTATAATGCTGGTCCACTTAGACTATCAGTGTCATTTCAGTGAAAAGAAACAGCTGGGCTCCCTGTCTTGACTGAACGCGGTATCAAGGCATTCTTCCTACTTGTACACCTCCAACCTTGTTCGCAGAAAATAGTACAAGGCTTCATCCATCCTCCTGCTCCGTGATCTGAGGCGTGTATTCGTCGCAGATTGGTTTGTTGCCATTTTAGAAAAATTCCTTGGGAAAACCCACACTGAGACCCTTAGTATGAACTGTCTGATAGCGATTCGTCTGTTTACACGTGCAGTTAGTATGAGGAAACTCAGCCATCTGTTAAAGACGCATCGAAACACTCACCAGAGTCAGGGTCAGTCTCAGGCTCTGAGCTTTCGTCACAATCTGTGCCCTCAAGTAGCTTGGCTAACGACGACTTCCCAAAGACGAAGTCGATAACGTCTACCAGTCCCCTCATCTCAGGATAAAGGTCATACGGTACCAGCGTTGTGCGAAAAGTACGGAGCTTGATGGTAATGTAGGCAATCGCAGGTGCGTTAATCCCCTGTTCTTTGAACGTTGATGATGGAGAGCCAAAGCGACTCTAGTTTCCTACGCACGTCCACCATCGCAAAGAATTTGTCCTCGGAAAGTTCGTCTTCTTCGCGGAACGCCTCACATGTGTTGAGGCAGGATAGAAGCGCTTCGGTCCTCCATTTGATAGTGGTAGCGGTAGCATTGATGTCACCGGTTGAGCTGGATATAGGCCGTGAAGCGGTAGAATCCGCAGCTTCTGGGGATTCAGACATTTTGGAAGGTCGTTAGATATGAGGCAAAAGTGGATAGTAGGTGGGAGTTTGTGTAGATTTAAAAAGCGAAACTCTTGGAGCAAACGCAATCGAACGTTTTATGTAGATGATAGACGACTGATTTGGTCTGGTAAAGCCGAGGGCGGTGCAGCGGCACTGATGAGAGCCGACAGTATCACATATACATAATGAGGGACGCGGATTAAATCCTCCTCTTACTGCCCTTATCTTATTTATAGCAGCTCATTGTTCTCCTCATATCGTCTTCTACTTAGGCTGGGTGTGCGTACCCATCAATCTCAATGAAGCCAGTACCGCTATAGGCACACTTGTCAGATGGTATCCCCTTCTCGATAGATTTATACGGCGACTAAAGTACTGAAATATTGTATTCGTAATAAGAAAACTATACTCTGAGGAATCTGCGCTACTGACCTTCGAGTGTGATGTGCTGCTAGGTAAACTCGTGAAGTTTACAAGGTATAATGAATGGCCGTGCAAAAGTTTTGATGATTTGTTCTCTTCTAATTTTGTACAAGATTAAACAAATTCATCCTTAGATAATATAGAAAGAAATCCATCGTAGAATATTCAATGTATCTATTTTATTATATATATATATATATATATTCCTTATCGGGTCGGCGTAGGAACTTTTGCAAGGAACTGCAATGGCTACCATTCAAGATCGTGGAACGAATCACTACAACATGGGTTCTCTTTCAATACTAAGCTCGTGCCTAGCAGCATTACAGGGTAGAAATACTATAGAAGTATCGAAAGATCAATAACTCAGTCTGACCTAACCGGCATATCAGACTTGAAGGCAATGTGGATCGAGACCAAATCAATTGTGCTGTAAGTTGGACTAGGTGGGCGATGGTCAGCACTCCAGCAATCGTTTGGAGAAGGAAACAAGAAATTAGTTGTAAGTAGACCAGAATACGTCCAATAGAGCAAAATTAACAATGAGTCTATTGGGTTTCGAAGATCGTGACCAGGTAAAATAATTGATTCTCTGTAGGATAAGTTGACGAAGGGGAGATGTGCCCAGCCTCCCCCACAAACGATTGGCTCAAATGGAAAAGGTTAAGTGGTTCCCTCATGAATTGTTGATGCGGGGCGCATATCCACCTCATTCAGTCTAGCTACATAAAGGCAAAACACAAGATATGCTTCAACAACAACAGGGGATATGGTGTAGGGGTATCACGTTCGCTTTGCATCGATTCAGAAGCATGCGAAAGGTCTGGGGTTCAAATCCCTATGTCTCCATTTCTTTTGCCGTTTGTGACTGCGACACGGGTATCTTCTCTTTTTTGATCTCATCTTTATGCTGTTTGGATGGCCGTTATGTGTGGCCAAGTTTGTTATCCTTATAGCATAAACAATACTGTACTGAGCAACCATTGATAGCAGAGTTCTATACGAGGTCCTTAGACTCTATGCTCAGCCGACAGAACGGCTTCAGTGACTGGAAAAAGCATACCCTACAATACATCGATCCAATGAATGAGAATGCAATTAGCTTCTGTTACTGAGCATGTGATACTAAAATCTGCCAGGGGTGCTGCATTTGGAGAACCAAACACGTGCCATCCCAATCCATGAATCATGTGTCTCGCAAAGACAAAGCGATCCATTCCATCGCTTCCGGTTAATTCTTGAGCTTAGGGGGAACCGTTCACGTTCAGCTGACGCTCTCCCACGTTTGGAGTCGTGACGGGAGAGGCTTGAGACCTCGTGAGCAGCAAAACAGACGTGGCAGATTTTTTAATGATACCTTGTTACGTCCAGGGTATAATATGACTTGCTAAAGTTGTCTTCATTTTCCGCCAAAGAGATATATCAATGCTATTCCCGATCTATCTACGTCATGCTTGGTAGTCCCCCACAGCGCGCCCCCGCGTTTCCCCCGGAGTTTTTGGAGATGGGAGGACTTTCACATGCCAAGTTGGACTCGAACAAGATGGTATCCAATGCCAAAACATGTCACGAGTCACGGGTCGTCATCCTACTCGGCTCTTGAACCCAATTGAGATGGACAAGTTGAGCGTTGCCTCATTTATACAGCCTAAGTACTTTTATTCACAATGGCATTTGAGTTTTTGTCTAATTCTTTCTTTTCTTCTGTTCTTCTGTTCTTCTGCTTGTCCCTGGTTCAACGTTGAATACCTGAAACTGAACTCCATACGGCGTAACCGTTTTAACCAGTCCCTGGACGATAGATTACGACTTATACTGATCAACTCACGATAAGCCTTCCGTAACCCTGTCCTAGTCCCACCACCGAGGGTATTGAGTCGTGCGACGCGGTTGTCTTTCATGTGAAGGACCTTGATTTTACCCCAAAGACCGACGACACCATGTGTCTGGGCTCTAATTGATTTCCTTTGTCCCTTTGTCGACCTTGCACATATATTCCGTCGGCATTACTTCGAAAAATTGCACATTTGATATTTGATCAGGTCTGGTTATCATGATAGACCACGTCCTAGGACGGCCTTCGGTCAAGTCTCGACGTCTTCAAGTCCTCGCAGTCTTGACCTTCTGGTCTGCCTATCTAGTCAAGTAAACATTTCGCCTCTCAACCTTTCTCATCGAGTACTAACACACTCAGGGGCCACAAACATGGTCCTCCCGGCGCGCAGACATTCTCGAGACTCTTCTCCAAGCGTCTCACAGCCTGGCAAACCGTCGCAATCACCATGCTCTACCTATACGCCGCTCGCAACTTCAGTACCCTTGTCGGACTCGCCAGCCCAGAGCCCATGGCCAATATGTACGACGCCACCTATTACCGAGCCACATGGGTCTTGACTGCGCTGGACGCAGGTTTCTGGACGGCCATGAAGATCAAGACGAAGTGGCTGCGCGACATGGCGAGCATCGTCTTTTCGCTCTTCTACCTTGTTGCTGCTGAAAAGGCAGACGAGAAGGTTCGCAAGGTGAGGGGCATGGTCACTGTTGAGCATTTACGTGTCTCTTGGAATAAGGGCACGACGCCGTATTTGAGTTTCTTTCAAGGACTTATGCGACCTCGTTTTATGCGATGGCCCCCAAGGCAGATTCGGATTCCGCGACCCGCCGATAGCGACTACAAGGAACCTGTTCTCGCATGGCTGTACTACGATGGACCGTTATCAGATCTTGAGCGTCATGATAGGGTAATACTCGACATTCCGGGCGGTGGCTTCGTCGCGATGGACCCTCGCTGTAATGACGACAAACTATTTTCCTGGGCTGCCAAGTCAGGACTGCCTATTCTGAGTCTTGACTATAAAAAGGCACCCGAATTCCCGTATCCGTATGCGGTAAACGAGTGCTTTGATGTGTACAAGACCATCATCAACACCAAGGGCCGATGTATAGGCTTGCCGGGCACAGTTGTTCCTCGGGTGATTATCACAGGAGATAGCGCTGGCGGTAACCTCACGGTTGCAGCGACGTTGATGATTATGGAAACGAGACATGATGCTTTCCGAAGGCCAGGACAAACAGAGTTGCCTCCCCCTGACGGCCTTGTTTGCTTCTATCCAGCTTTGGATATGAACATCGGAAACTGGATGACTGACGAGCAGATGTCTCTGATAAAGGATCGTAAGGCGAGAAAAACGAATCGCAGAATTATGCGCCGCAAGAGCATGCAGTACAATGAGGTCTTGGGAACGCCTCATCACTCTGATGATGATGAAGATGGATCGCCACCACCGCATGCGAAACTAAATGGCTTAACGGCAAAGGAAGCACTGATTGCAGCATCTCAAGGACCCAAAAGCCCACACCCCGAATTCTCTCATGTTGGTCCTCGGTCTTTGAGCTTTCCCAAGGAGGTGCCAGAACCCAACGGAAAGGTAGCATCCCTCCATGTCGAACCGATGAAGACGCGACTAGCTACTTCATCAATGATCTCATACTTCAACGACCGAGTTCTCACACCAGAGATGATGAGGGCCATGATCATCTTATATATCGGCGCACACAACCGACCAGACTTCAGCCAAGACTACCTCCTCAGCCCTGTGCTGGCACCCGAGGCTTTACTCGTCGATTTCCCCAAAACATACTTCATGACAGGAGAACGAGATCCTCTGGTCGATGACACAGTCATATTTGCTGGACGACTTCGCCGCGCCAAAGAAGCTGCTTTCGTCCAGGATAAATCAGGACGACATAGTGGAGAGACTGAGTTCAACGATCGAGATGCAGCTGAAGTGATGCTGATCCCCGGTACATCCCACGGCTTCATGCAATTCCCGACGCTGTATCCTCCTGCTTGGAGGCATTTTGAACGATGCATCGACTGGTTCGACCAGCTCTTCGACCACGCAGAAGTCATGCGCGTGCGTAAAAGTCGACAAGCCAGGGCCGCAGACTCACAAACCAACGGCTTCGGAATCAACGGCGACGGCCGCCACCATCTACGCACCGAATCCAGCGGTGAGGAAGACAGGCCGCTCGAGATCAGTATGACAAAGATGAACCAACGTCGAAGCTCCAACCAGACAACGCCACAGCAGAACCCGGCATCGCCAGAAGTGAACGGGAGTGAAGACACGGCACCAGGGGTCCAAACTAATGGTGAGAAGAATACCAAGAGCGGGTCTCGACGGAAGAGCGTGGGCTTGAGCAAGAGCAAGAATAGAAACAAGAGCTTCGTCAAGCTCAAGAGTTCTGATGATTTGCTTGGACGACGTATGCAGGGACTTGCGAGCGGGTTGACGGGGATGGGTGAAGAGGATTGAGCGTAGTCTGAAGAGATGAGGTTTTGCATGGTTGGGGTGGTGATGCAAGGTATTAAGTTGGAAGCGAGGTGATGTGCATCTTGAGTGGCATTTGGTTGAGCATTCTGGAGTAAAAGATGTTGCATTGGATATTGAGCTGGAGTAAACGATGAAAGCATATGCTCATATGGTCTATTCTTACGAAGATATGATAGCTGTCTGTAGATAGATAAAGGACACCCTTATTAGAATGACCCGCATGGTTGACAAACTAAATGCCCGAATATAGAGGCAATCAGATATCGAAAGGCAACTGGCCTCACGCTCATGAGGCTTCTAGAAGACTTCTAAAGCCACCGGCTAACGTTGCATGAGTAGCTCCTAGGGATTACCGGCTGCAGCAAATCGCGGACATTGAAACCCGGCGGACCGTCGCGCTGTGGGCCAGTTCAAGTCAAGGCACGGTATTATTTATCTTGAGCCAATATTTAGAAAGGCCTGATGGAAAGACGGAATGATAGTAGCATTGCAAAGATGCATTGCCACTGGCTATGTACTATTTCTAAAAAGAAATGCATAAAACACCGTCATTGCTGGCAAGTTCTCTATGCTCCTTAAATATTGATCTTGACCATTAGAGCAGAGCAGAAGCCAACACCACTACCAAAGCCGCGACTCACAAAGTATCCATGGAAGCATCTACGCAAGGCCTCAAGAACAGAATCACATAGAGCATAAAAGGGGGCGGACGGACCGTATTTGCGTCAGAGCTCTTGTCCTCTCGGTGAGCCTAACAAAACACGCAACAAACAGAAAAAGACCGCCCGGGACCTGGGCCGATTGGATCGCAGCAAGGGTCTCACGGCCTCTGATCTGGGGGAGTCTGGGCTGGGTTGGGGGAACAACACGCCACTTGCATCAGGTCAGGTTATTCGGTGGATAAAGCACCTCACGGAGGAATGGTACAGTGCTGGAGCTTATGGGGGTTTTACTTGAGAGGTTAAGCGGTATAGTAAAGGTGTTTCATATACGCGTGCTTCGAAGAGAGTTTTCTTGAGCTGTTGGGCATTCGTAATATTAACCAGTAAAGGCCTTGTTTATACTGGGTCTCGATGGCCTCATGGAGGGATAAGCTCATATTGATGTAAATAGTAGATAGTCGCAAGGTGAGCCGAGGTGAACGAATCCAGCCTCTGGGTATCCTTGGAGCTGTGCCCAAAAGTTACCCTAGCCACATTCAGCTGAGCACTCTCTGAAGACGTAATGTTTGTTGTCTATTTCTAGCAGGTAATTTACCGTCATCTCAAACGTAACTGTCGATGGACCATTTATTACGGAAGACGGCCGTGGCTGTGGGTCTGGAAGTCCGACTTACCGGCCGGCAACCTCCGTGATTGGGCCGCGCATGTTGTCCGGGCTGCCGTCCGACATTTCCCTCTCAGCCCTGTAAATATCGATTCATCCAATATCCCACAATAGCCATAGTAAAGAGATTAACCATAGCAATGCTGTTCTCCGCCGTAGAGAGAATAGGAAGGTAGTAGAAGCCTT